AAAGTGACTCACGCATTCGAGAAACTTTTCAAAAGACCACACATCTCCTTGTAGATGGGTCTCAGACCGGAGATGTGCTTCACACCTTCACGGCAAGCAAGACGACGAATGATAGGTTTTGTTACACCTAGGGTGGCCAGTGAATAGATGGAAAAATAACAATGATGAAGACACGTACCTTGGATGTTATCACGAAGGATTTTTCGGTGGCGCTTAGCTCCACCCTTTCCAGGTGCCTACTGTGCAATGATGTTAAACAACAGTCAAGCGGCTTAAAAGCATCACCTTTCCACCTTCCACGTACAGACATGTTGATAGTGGGTTGAAGAATTTGAGTGTGATTCACAGTGTGCGGTGAAGGCGGCAAGTTGACATTGAGTCTGACAAATGTGTGGGACATCACATGATGCCGGCGAAGCCATCAAATTTTCGGGGAGGGGATGTCCGACTATACAGGGTTTCTGGATAAGGTGATGCCAGAAACGGGGGTTTCTACCAGAAAGGGGGGTTTCTGAATAGTTTTACCCATAACTTACAGGTGGGTTTTGTACACTTCTTCTGAGATGAGACTGCCATCGGGTTTTCGAGCAGGAAAGAAGTCTGTGTGAAGAAGCTGGGGGTCGATTTGGACGTCAGCAGATGAAGGTGGTGTTGATGGAAGCTGGGGAACGTCGGCGTTTGACGCCGCTGATGCGGCAGGTGCGTTTGTGCCTGGCGTCAGGGCGTGCAGATTAAATGTGCATAAAATAGAGGGAACGCGAATAAATTAGTGTAGAAAAAGCGAGAAACGAATGAAGTGGTGGTGGTACACTGTAGGGTAAAATGGAATACTGCACGCGTCTAGGTGAGCTGCCTAGCGGACCGCGGTCACCAGCGTATTGTGACCGCCTCCCAAATTTGGGACGCCGTCACCAAAATCTGGTGACATTAGTGTTTAAAGGTTCAGTTCAGTCCGGTTTTTTGCCCCGAAAACGCGCAACCGTGGACCGCAACCGGTCCAGGACCGACCCAGATATTGAGGGAACCGAACCGAACCACCTAGGACCGGTCTTTTGCGGTCCATGATACCGGTTCAGACCGATCCAGACCGGTTTTTTTGCGTATAATTTATTATACCAATATAAACCATTTGTATCTCAATCATTATTACTCTGAAAAATAAACAGGTTATATAAAATAGTAAAGCATATAAATACCCATCATTCTACCAATTTTCAAGAGATTTAATGAAGATTTGACATAGCCATGACTGAAACCGAATTACATCTCATAGAGACTCGGGTAAAATATGGATTTGGTTATATCTTTCTCAATTCTTAACCGTTTTTGATGAAACAAAAACCCAATAAAAGGCAATAAACGTGGTTACAAGGCTATGTAACGCACGTGACCGTTTAACCGGTTGCAACCGATTAAAACCGGCCTTTGAACGGTTTTAAAAGATTTTCGAAATGAGGCAACCGGCAACCGGACCAACCCCAAATTGGGGCAACTGCAACCGAAAAAAAGACCGGACCATGGTCCGGTTCAGTTCGGTCCACCGGTTTTTTGCGGTCCTATGGACTGAACCTTTAAACACTAGGTGACATGGCAGCTTAGAACCCAGCTGGGGTCTCCTCGGCCCCCTGATGTTTGGTTGGCAGGGTGGTGGATGCCCAATCCGAAGGGTAAAGTTATGTTCCGCAAACGTGCAACTTAGAGAGGTTCTTGACTGATGTATGTATGTCGATGGTGGATTTGTACATTTTGGTAGTGATACATTTGGTGGCTGCTTCAAGGGTGTCGAGGCTCTGCCACGCTGGTTTCCATCTTTCAGAAGACGAAGTTGAACTTGACAGAAGACGAACTTGACAATGCCAAGTCAACATTGCAGAGATTAAAGGTAAAATCACAGTACCAGAAGTAAAAGGCACTCTCGCCATTGACGTTGAAGAATCCAGAGGGAACATACTATGCACAATGCACGGATGAACATGCTCCGCATGGACATACGCCCGTCTCGCTCGCGCCTGCCGTCTGAGATTGGGCTTGAGAAGCGCAATAAAACAGTGATTCACATATCAGTGCATGGAGTAGAAGTTGTGTCGTAAGTCCAACTTCCTTCCACGTCATTCAGGCCCACAGAAATTCTGGCACATTCCTCCTCACTGGCAACCTGACATCAAGCGCAAGAACCCTCAGTCGTGCGCTGAGCCCACCCAGCATCGAACACGTCGAATCTAACATTGGAGGTAGGACTTTGCATAGCGATGCCGAGGAGGAGAGGGAAGTTTGGAAGAGGTTAGGGATGGGTTGATAGAATTTGAAAAGGCTCTGGACGCAGAGCCATGTAAAGTCGGATGACTGGGTTAGAATTTGAAGGGGCGAGGGAGGAGGAAAGAGGGTCGAACCCATGCTATTATGGTAGGTTTATGGGGGCAGTGTGCTTCATTGGTGCTTCAACAACTATAGCCACTGGCAGTCTACACTGACCCACTGGTAGTGCACGGCGAGCACTTATGTGGCCTGGGAGTAGGCTTGAGCTGGACTTGATCAACACGCGTATCTGAGGGTGGCCATTTTACGTTGTAAGAAAGAAGCTCAGAATTCGAGAGGCGTTACCCTTTGTCACCAATGTCTTCCCGATACTTAGCATATGTCGGTGAAGTCTCGTCAGGTGGATCGGACTGATGAACGACAGCTAGCTCTCGCCCAAGTGCCATTGACTGTCGCTGGTGATGGATGCCAAGGTATGAGATTCAGAAATCGCTGTCCTTGGGAGATCAACACAACTTTGCTTAGATGTACTTAGACTCATTCACTTGGCTCTACACCAACTCATCTCATGTCTTTCTGATTCGGCTGGCAACAAGGCGGCGAGGCCATGGCAGCACTTGACATGTTCCCAGACCTGCCGTTTGAACGCTCATTCTGAGTGCTAGTCTTTCTCCTTTCACACCACCATGTTTTCCTCGGCGATTGGGAGCTCTGCCAGAGGCCCCAGCATCGAGATTTTCGGCAAGTCCTCCTGGCAGAGTTTCACCACTGCTGAAACTGAACATATAATTTACCCGTCCCAGAAATTCATAGTCTGCATTCAATCGCGCCACCCGCGATACTTTAAGCTTCGTTGACGTAGCTTATGTAGATGAACATGCTTAGACCCAAGCAAGACCTTGTTGACGCCCTCGAGAAATAGTATGCATGGACATTCTTATTTGCAATGTTTAGGGGGGTAGTGGATGTAAGCACGGGTAAAGGGGTAGTGAGTGCCCCCGAATGAAGGTAGACGTGTTAGGCTGGGCCCCATTGAAGGTAAATTCGACGAAGCTGAGCAGGGGTCGACGGCGAGTTTGACGGAGTGTCGGAGACAAGCTTCACGTAGCAGGGATCGAAGGTGAACTCCCGGTACTTAACAAGCGTCAGACGACTCGATGTAGGAAACGTTGGAACGGATGTCAAATGAATTGCATCATCCACCATACGCTCCGAACGGACACACGTCCCTTCTGCGTCTGCCTCCTAGAATTTGGCTTGAAATTTACCGTAGAAGGTATGTTTGCCAATGCCAAGAGATTGTGTGGTGCTCTGAGCTGCTTTGTAGGTCTCTCCTCCTCTCTCACGGTGGCAAGATTGACGTAAACCTGAAATCAAGCACAACCCGACATTGAACATGTCGATCCCAAATGAGACCGTGTTGGAAATGCCGTGGCGAGTTTATGTTAGATTTGGGGAGAGTTGGTGAGTGGAAGGGGAGTGTCAAGTGGGTAGAGAAGAAGTTGACGTGCAAGATGAGGGGTTCGAGAGGGTGGTTCGAGGTGGTGTGGAATCGACTCAGAGGTGGTAGGTGAAAGACAATCAGCAAAGAGCCGAGTATGGGAACCAAATTGAACATCCGCCCAGCAAAACCCACATGAAGACACTGGGGGTGATAGGCTTTACGTGCAGGAATAGAGATGGGCTGACAGAGATGCAGGTCTTTGGCAGGTCTATGCCTTCCTTCAGATTTGTTGGGGAGCACAGTGTCGGCTCATGGACCAAGATTGGAAAGAGAATACAGATTGAGATCATGCACGCACATAGCTAAGAAAACAGAAAATCAACAAAAGTGTTGAGACCGCCTTCATTCTTCCCCCCTTCCTGACAATGCTCTTGGACAACTTCAGAGAATTGTGATTGGGTGAGGTTATAATGTGCAGCCTGGTCACCATCCTCCCGCAATTTCGATTTCTGTTCGACAGCCATCATCATGGCTTCGTTTGAGAGGATGAATTTACGAAGGCCGGACTTGATGGAGTCGGACGTGGAGGGATCGCGCAGCACATCTTCAAGAAGGGTTTTGGCACATCGGAGCCTTTCAGCGGTGTCGTGTCCTTGCAGTGAATCCCTCCACAATGCTGATGCACCTCGAATATACGGCTGGGCAGCAATACCGATACAAAAGGCAAGTCGGGCCTGAACACAGTCAAGAAGATTACGAAGCTTGATTCTGCGGAGCACCACGCTATCTTGAGGACACTGAGAATTACTATGAGTAAAGGGAAAAGGGGAGCAGCCAGAAAGCGTACGCCGATGCCAATCCATTCAGCAGTATTGTCAACAGTCTCCCTCATGGCATCGAATTCGATCTCCCGCCTCTTCAACGCTTCGGCCAGTTGATTCATCCTAGCTTGTGATTGCTTCCGTTCCTCATCTGCTTTCTTCTGTTCCTCATCTGCTTTCTTCCGTTCATCATCCAGCACCTGTTCCAACCGAGCCGTCGCCACATCCGCTGTCCTACGTTCATTGTCTGCTTTCTTCCATTTTTCATCCGCTTTCTTCCATTCAGCGTCGGCTTTCTTCCGTCCAACATCCAGCACCTTTTGCATGTTCTCTATCATCTTTTTCATATCTGAAAGCTTTTGGTCCGTAGTTCCATATCAGTGCAGCCAGCAAATGAAAAGAAAGGAGGTCATACCTCAAAGTCGGCTGACGAACTTTGAACCTGAGCATGGATATTACGTCATTGTCCTCACTGTCAACTAGACCAGTAGGGTCAATTGGCTCTTCAACAACGTTTGTCGCAGATTCGTCAGCTGGAAATGATAAATCCGGGACACCTCAAATATGCAAACAAAGACCTTACCATTCTCATCAGCCCTCTTGGTTTTTTTCTTTTTCTTGTTCTTGTTCTTTTTCCTGACGGATGCAGGACCTTCAAGCGTGATCAGCCATAGATTCCGAGTCATAGCTTAGCATGCTGCACTCACTGCCAACTAGAAAGTACTTCAAAAACTCCGGTTTGACCTCGAGAAGGTATGTACCACCCTCATTTCCGAATGCATCCTCCAAGCGCATATTCAGAGGGGCGGGCTGGGGGACGAAGGAACCAGTTTTGGCTGATGTAGTGATCAACGTCACCGTGCCGCAAACGTAAGAAAAAGAAAATGGACACACTTGTCTCCCAGAGCCTGGTGCCAAATGGAGTGCTTGCTATTATTGCGTCTCTTAAGGTCCCTTCCTCCAAGTCATTCTTTTTCTCCACGTCTGAAATGTACCTAGCTACGGCCTCGCTGCTTGAAGTCTTTGCAGGATCGAAGTTTGAGATCCGTACACCTGCGACGCTGACCTGAAAAGAGAGCTCCATGTCCTGACTCTGAATGGAGAGAGGAGAAGATTCACGCATTCCCTGTGACGGGGTGACACCGACGTCACTCAGCGCCTTATGTCAGCTCTGTGTCATGCTCACCACGCTTGGTGGCATCCCGTTGTCGTCTCATCGCGGGCATCCACTGTTCGAAATCGCCCCCCCTCGCCGCCGCCTGCTTCGCTTGACAGTTTCTCCAAATTAGCAATTGCCATCCCTGCTGCTATTAAAGCTTCCGTTGGAGTTTAAAATGACTGGAAGTTGCAAGGCACCCCCTGAGGGTTCCGTATTTTACAGTCCTTACATAGTTTTTTCAATAAATGAATTCCTGTGTACGTTGCACTTTGAGATGTCGTTGTGATGGTGGGTTCCAGGGGTAAGGAGGCATTTCGTGCGCCAACTCAAACTCCGCCAGGGAGCTCTGAGCCATTTCCCTCCACCCCCTGCCCCGAGCTCCGCTCACCAATCGACACCGATCCCTCACGTCTGGCGTCGCGACGTGGCTCAATAAGGATGTGAGTAGAAAGCATGAACTGAGCGACATACAGAACGCACGCCCTCATTCTCCGTCTTCACGTCGTAGTTGTGCGCGAGCATGATCTTGAGCTCGCAAGCTGCGAAGTAGCGTCCAGGGCACGCATGACGCTCGTATCCGAAAGTGAAGAACTCTGGGGAGGTGGAAACAATATCATATTTCTTACTATCCTGCTGGAGCCTCATTTTCGCAAAGCGGAAGCCGTCAAACTCTTTGGGATTTTCGTATGTTTCTGGGTCGTGATGTGCTTGTGCAAGATTGACGCCCACCGTAGTTCCTTGAGGAATATGGGTGCCATCCGCGAATGTGTAATCCTCCTTGGCAATTCGTACCATTACGACTGTTTCTGTCAGCGTAAAGTATATACAGGATGGAGCGGCACTCACGAGTGCCCAGCGAGGTCTTTCGCTGCGACTCCTTGATGAAACTGTCGACCTTGTGCATCTGATCCAGAGCCTCTTTGGACCAGCCCTCGCGTTCGATGACCTCTTCAACTTCTGCGCGAAGAGGCCCAATGTATTCGGGTAGGGCGGCTAAATAGAAGAGGGCATGCACAAATGGCTGGAATTCCCTCGATCATTTCGGCGTAAGGGATGATATGTACGTATAAATTGGGATTCACCATCGAAGACGTGTGATCGCTGCAAAATTCACAACCAAAACTCGTCTTGTAAGATTCTCTATAGTTTGCTCCTCACCCTGGGCCGCTTCCATAAGCCACGACAGGAAATCTAGCTGATAGAAATCGTTCGGCATTGAGCAACGGGATCGATGTCGAGGACGTATGAAAACCTACCGGCTTCTCATAACCATTACCAATCTTTTCTTGTTCTTCCCTGCGAGAGTCGATGATCGGCTTGAGGTGCTTCATTCCCCGCTGAAGACGTTGAGGGAGCTTGGTAAACAGGTGGTTGATAATCCTATCGCAAAAGGTCGAATCTCAATAAAAATCAAGTGTGAAAGGCAATGAGATATACGGCCTCAGGAATGGAGGTACCAATCGGAGGATGGAGCTCATTGTGACAACATCAGCAGCGAATTGGGTGGTGAGCTCCAGATAGTCCGGATTACGACCTGAACCGAGATCATAAACATGAATCCACGGATACGACAATGGGCGACGACTAACACAAAGGAAGGCCCACAATAGTGCGGTTGGTCGCTCTGCAAACTACTTTTGTCATCGTTTCTAATGCTGTAATTGTCTTCCATTCTGGCCGGCCAAGACTTCGTGAGAATGAAAGTAAAAGCCATCACTACAAACGGATACCTTTGGGCCAGGCGTTGAACGTTCACCATATCACATCCCTATCATCAGGTCACAACTTACTCGAGCCCTTCTAAAACTTGTTCCGGAAGTGCATGACGAGGTTGTTTCCGCTTTCGATGACTTGTTTGTTCTACCCAACGATTTCGGTCAGAGAATGTTTGAAGAAACTAAGAGTGATAGATTAGAAAAGTGCCGTAGATCATCCGAGAATTTGGTGTACAGCACCTCGCTGACAGCGTCCAAGGACGACAGCTCGTGCTCGGAGATTGAACCCGCTTCTTGGATCGCATTAGCTTCAGACACTACCACCTTCCACTTCAAAAAGTCTGGCACTTTGACAATTTTATTCGGGAACTATACGCATTCATCAGAAATGGAAGACCTTTGGATTTCACGACACACCTTGGCAACTGTCTCGTCAACGAGAGTCTTCGAGTCGGTGAGATAGCGAAAAGCGTCAAGGTAAGATAAAATTGGGGAGTCGAAACCCATGGTAGGGATATGCTTCAGCTGCAAAGGGGATGAATCCTCTAAGACATGGAGGGCTTGGCGGACGCACTTGACGAGTTTCGCCGACATGGTAAACCAGAAATACGACAGATACGATGGCGCCGAGAAAGAGGAGTTGGTAAGAGCGCTCGTTGATAGAGAAGAGCCAGTAAAGGGCAACCGTCATGGCTGCTGTGCGGGCAACTTGAAGAGCAAGGTAAGTACATGGTATTATGTACCACAAGCCATCCAACCATGATGGCTTCGAGAGATGTAGATCCGAAGCAGAAACGCCTCGGGCTCCATGGGTTCCGCTCACCCAACGCAACCCAAAAGGCACATCTCTATGGACAAAACGTGAGGATCCGACAAAACTTGGCTCGACTTTAGGTTCACCTCAAGTGCTCATTGCGCGGTGTTGAAGGCCTCACAATTTTTGCAGGCTGAGGACATCCATCACTATCTGGGTAGCCTCTGAGCTGACCAGTCATGAGTCCCTTCGACGCTTTATATAAATCCAATCAATTCTCCGTTCTAGCATAAGCGGGTTTAAATGGGCATAGTTGCGCACTATTCATCACTTCAGAAGCCAGCCAGTGAAATCAGAAGCATTGGAATCTTGCCTGGCACAAACGCCCTGCCTGCGAAACGCTTCGCCCTCAGCCTCAAGAATTTGGCAAGGCGCGGGTGATATGTGCCATCGAATGCCATATGACGACGCTTTGAGCACCCTCGTGTTCTGGTAGGGAAACAGGAAGGTGTATATCCTATGTATTATCTTGGCCTTTAGACTTTTCTCGAAAGAAAGGTACCGTGCCACCATAAGGGAACGCTTGATCCTATGAGCCCTTCGGATAGGGGAGGCTGTTAAAGTTGCCTTTCCACAACTTGCTAAAGGTGAGACCGACAGCTGTCGAAGTCACATAGACTTCGAACAATCAGAGGTTCATATAGAGAGGTGTAGTGAGGCCGAATGGCAAAGACATAGACAGGATGATGGGATGTTCGCTTGCTCCGACGTGAAGTATACAGTGGCATATGCTGGAGACCTCATCGAAGCACAGGCGTGAGTCTAAGGTAAATGTTGCGGTGCACTCATCCACCTCTTATTGCCTGTTGAGTCTTTCAGGAAGAGAAGAACTAGAGTAAATTCGACAGGCGTACTGTTGTCACCTTCGCAGTATCACTACGCATGGAACTTCTATTCCACAGAGCTATCCATCTGGCCCCATCGCCCATATCACTCGGGGCAGAGAAGAGGTCAAGAATATGATTTCAGGTGTTTGCGAGACCGGAAATTGTACTAGTTTCAGCGTCCTTGAAGTCCTACGTCGGGAGTCCCAGTCGCGCCTGAGTTGTATGCGTGAATCATGCCCTGATAACTATTCTCGAGGAGCAAGGACAGCACGGGAATTACTAGAGGAGGAAAGGAGTGCCAGTGAACGAGCTCAATCATTGCCGGGGAGCGGCTAGAGCATTACACGTGCGAAATTTAACCAAGAGGAATGGGCTGGAATAGAGGCGGCGTTGCTCACAAGATGACCAATGGTTTATCAACCAAACAAAAGGAATACGGATTAGATCGCAGAACCATCCTATTGGCATCTCCAATGTGGCGGCATCGCGCCACGCCGGGTCTGAGAAATCGCTCAGAGGCCCAAATAAAAGAAGTTGAGAATCAGCCAGGAGCCCCTGAGTACCGGACTATCGTAGGAAATTGAATCATGGCGAATCCTCAGTCAGGATATTTAGAACGTTAATTTTGTTGCCTCAAAGTCCTTCCCTATGTTCGCAATGAGGATAGCAGAAAATTCAATCATCGCTTGGTGGTTATATCTATTAGGATTTGGATTGTGGTCGATGGAACCCATCGTTTCTGGCAACTGGGGGAGGGGGAAGGATGATGCTTATGATCACAATTTGTACCCTCGCAAAAATTATGTCAAAGAAATTGGACTGAGAGGTAGATTTGAACCGTCGCTTGTAACAAGGATAAGGTTCGTTAAGGCAATCGATTGCATTTGCTGCACGGGGGGCTTGAGGGGGGTAAAACTATTCAGAAACCCCCGTTTCTGGCATAACCTTATCCAGAAACCCTGTATAGTATAGTCGAACAAACTTTTTGATGGGTTCGCCGGCCACGGCGTCATGTGATGCCACACGCTCAACTTGTGAGTCTGATGCTGCTCAACCAGCCTCCTCAACCCATTCTACCTCACTCTACGTGAAAAATGCTTCGTGCTAACTCCCAGTACGTGTCTTCATCACTATCATCCTCACATCTACTCACTGGCTGCCGTAGGTATAACAAACCCGAACGAACGGCGGACAAGTAGGAATTCATCGTTTGTGGTTGAAGCGCGCGAGGTCTCAGACTTTCAACCCACTCGACAATGACCCTGGCACGTATTTCCCGGGCTCGTCAAGCAAATCAGGACCATCTACTCACCGGCTGCCGTAGGTATAACAAACCCGAACGAACGGCGGACAAGTAGGAATTCATCGTTTGGGGTTGAGGCGCGCGAGGTCTCAGACTTTCAACCTTCTCGACAATGACCCTGGCACGTATTTCCCGGGCTCGTCAAGCAAATCAGGATGAATTCGGGCGAAATCAATGAAGGAACGCTGGCCTGTGGAATCGCTTTTTGTCGTCTTGCTCGCTGGAGCCTCAAGGTCTGGTGTGGGTGCGTTCCTAATCCAAGTTTTTGCCTGAAACAGAACGAGGGAGGCTAGTTGTTGTGATGGAGTGTCCACGCGTGTCAGTATCATCCCCGCTGGCGGTTGGCCCAAGCGCTGCTGACGGATCCTGTTCTACGATGAACATGCTGAGATCAACCCGTAGTGTCGTAGGGGTGACTCTGTGGTATATTTCGTCATTACATCCATTCATCGAGGCTACTTGAACTGGTGTCCTCCAACAGCCCCTCTTCGTGCATAAACTTTATCAAATGGACTACAGTCGTAACACAAAAGAGTTTTCCATGCTAGATAGATTCATTTCCCAAGTAAGCAGCATACAACCAAGATGACCCTTTAATATTTGATCTGTATCTCTAACTACAACCACAGGAAAATCTCAACAGGCCAACAGTCACCCGAGCAGTGAACAACTAATCAAAAGCTGGTACCTCCAACGTCAACGCTAGCGGCTAATCTTTCTGGTACGGGCGCATGGCCACGAGAGGTTGGCGTACATCATGTATTATGGAATAGTGGAGACGGGCTTTCAGCGTCTGGGCTGTTGGCGTGAAGGGTATCTCTGGTCTCATCTACGAGGAGACGTCCGGTGTTTAGAAAATATTCCTTGAAAATGTGGGTCACCTCACTTGTCGCCTTCATCGTGTCTCTGACCCATCATTCCAAGGTTATTCGCGACTCAGTAATGTACACAGAGCACGCTGAGCAGAAGATAGTCATGACACTCGAGTCTCGACGTTGCATATGCCTTGAAACGTTCGGGGCGTACGCTATACCGTTTTGGAGCATTGATGTGATTGTTTTGTCATCTACATGTCCCCAGGTTGTATTTTATTTTATCTATTTCTTCTCCGCATCTTCGATTCGTCGCGCACGTCGACACTCAGATTTATTGCTGCCAGTGTTTACCATAATTTAATATCATTCATCTATCAAAGATTCACTCCTCGACTGTTTGATTGAGTTGAGTCTCTGCGCCCGACAAATAGCCTTTGTCCGCCACGACGACATTTGTTATCATTGACCAATGGCGTAGCGACAGACATTTGTTCTGTCACATTCGGCTCATGTCCTCTACGATAACATGAGGGGCGAGGTAACAGTGGACAATTGGAGTGAATTCGCTGTAGCGTTGACTTGGCGTTGACTAATAGCCGCGGCCGGCGACCATCACCGGTCATCGAGAACTCAATTTGACCATATGCCAGGGGTTTCTCGAAACCCCCTCGGAAACCCCGGGTTTCTACCAGAAAGGGGGGTTTCTGAATAGTTTTACCCGCTTGAGGGGTTGCTGGGGGAATGGACCGTGATCAACATGCGCAACAGCAACGGTTCATGTGGTACGTACTGAACTTCCAAACAACCGTGCTCTCCAGAACGCTTCCTGCCTTCGGAAGCCTGTCTTCATTTCCCACAGATCCGGATCCGTCAATGAGGCGGATATGAGACAAGATGAGCCTTGATGACGACAAGGAAATGGAGACTATCCCCCTCCCAGCGGGTTAGAATCCCAAGCTCCTCGCTCGTTCATCCTTCCTGACTCATAGACTGGGCCCATAGAATGGCGGTAAAACGATATTGCACAAAATTGTCTCCCATAGGCGCAATTGAAGACCATCGTCCTCGCCATACCCCTAAAGATGAAGGGCACCAAAAGGCGTGGTTGAGAGGGATTGACCTTGGATTGACCAAGACCGGGTGTAACCGATAGATGCACCAATGCCATGTGATGGGTTGGTAATGGGCATAGTTTGACTTGGGCAAGTTCAAACTACAGCGCAAGGCGTTCCGACAGCTTCCGTAGAGACGCAGATAAGTTGGGCGTATTTCAACACCAAGACAGCAAAACTACTAACTCGGGGCAGCCTTCTCTAGTTCAACGTCCAACATTAACCCTCGTAGAGAGCACCCCGGAGTTCTTGCGACACTTCACAGCCTTGCTTCTCCAGAATAATAGGCTGCGAAGTCCAACGTCAATTCCGTGTATATGCTGATTGATGACGTGGCCTTACCGCCAACAGGCCAGTGTCCTCAGGAAGAGAAGGAACGAAAAGGAAGCCGGACGGGGGTAGGTATTTGGTCAGGGGGGTGGTGTCGGAATCAAACAGAGTGGCTCAACATCAACTTGATGATCGCCGAAAATTGGAGAAAAACTGGCTGAGGAAAACTACGAGGTACCTCAAGACGCAGAGAATTTGTACATCAGAAACTGGCATGAATGTAATTTGGTTTCGCAACGGCATTCCATCAAGGACCAATTATCAAATTACAGGAAAGCCTGAATGCCGCTAGACAAGAAAGACCATGTGTTGCCTATGCAAATCGTAAGTGAATCAATTGGTAGTGGCCAACGTGTAAGGAGTAGTGGCCAATCCGACTTGCTGATTGGCGGTGTCATAGACGGAATAGAAGCGCTCCAGGAATGCGTAACCATTAATGAAATCAAGACCTTCACCACTGGCGCTACCAAGATCGCCAACAATCAGGTAAATACTGCCAGCGGTGCCACCGATTTGTGTGTTAAGAGAGCGGGGCCACAGTTGGGCATTTGGAGTGAGAGTGTAAAGAACCTGTAGTACGCTTGTAGGCCATAAATTGTAGTATTGAGGATGAGAAAACGTACACCATTGATAGTGAAGACCAAACCCTGCAACGCTGAGAATTGGGCAGGCGTGATGCGAAGAAGACTAGTGTTGTCGTCGGGGACGGCACCAGTGGCCGAGCTGTACCTGTTGAAAGCGTCGGTGGCAAGCAGGATCAGGGTAGTCCCTGTGTAGTACCCAATATAAGGAGTTCTTGTGATGGCTACAACGAGGACTAACCAGTGTCAACGATACCTGCCGTCGATTGAAGGATGACCGTTGAAACCCCGTAGCGGATAGACTGGTTGATCCCCCAGTAAGCGCTAGCAGGGAAGATGTTGGTGATGGGCGTGAACTTGATCTGACCCGTATATTTGGAACTATCAGCTCCACCTGATAAAAGTTTAGATAAGCGCACGACTGAAAACTATGCAAAAGTAAAGGTACCCCAAGTAATCTCCCCGTTTCCAGGAGAGGTTGCGTTGATTGGTTGGAAGAAGATACCAATTTCATAAGCGGGGATAGTGCCACGATTGTGTAGGTTGTCGGTCACGGTTGAGACGCTCGACTGTGTGTCCGGGTTCAAAGTGCCTATATGGATGTGAGTGAGGGAAGGGGGAGGAGGATACCTTGTCGGACTTACCAATCGTCAGGTCGGTTGGGCCGATGCTAGATTGCATGGACGACATGAGATGGGCACAACCAAGGAGACAAGCATCTCACCCGAGGATACCATTGTAATTGTCGAATGCATCAGACTGGAAGACGCTATCAGTACAAGCTTTGCGGAAACTCGAAAGTGCGACATACCTCCAACGCAACGCCGATCGATTGCCCCTGAATGACCAACTGAGGAGTAAGTGTGACTGTGTCATAGAACTCAGTTCCATAGAAGTATCCCTTTCCATATGAAACATACTACAGTCGTCGTGAAAAGAAGTACAAGGATAGTAATAACCCAAACTTACTACACTATCGCCGGTTTGTACGCTGGTGCTGGTCTTTACGTATTTTTTATTTCCAGAACCGATCCAGGTGTTGGAACTGTTCGCTGGGTTGTCAGCTTTGATACGATTTTAATTTTAGAGTACTGACCTTCCTGTGTCAACGAGAAGGTCATCTAGATAAGATAAAACCTATCAGACTGCAAAATAGCGTAACAAGGTCTTTACGCACAATATGTAGGCGGACTACCAACGCCAACCGATGCGGTGTAGGTGACAGCCTGATCCGTGATCGGCTCGTTGATACCAGTGTCGGGAACACCGCCTTTCCCGAACGCACGACTCTTCAACGCCCGTGCGCGAGCCTGATCATGCTCAAGGAGGTTGTTGATACTAGTAAAGTTATACTTCTTGGCCAAGGGGAGCGTTACTAGAGATCGGTTGATGACGACTGGGTTGGCAACGACACCCAAAGCAAGGAGAAGGAGCGAGGAAAGGAGCGATAGGAGGGTCATGGGGAAGCTGGGATAAGCAGTAGCCTGGAGAGTTTCAATCGTCAAAGGAGGGGCTTTAAAGACTTTCAATAGGGGTGCCCGCCTGATTCTCGAAGTTGTTCAACCGCCCAAAGGTCTCTGATTAGGTAGATGAGTTGTGCGAGGTAATGGGAGAGCTCATGGTGGATTCGCCGTTCTTGCAGGACTTCTAAATTTTCAAAGGTGCTTCCCTACTCCAAAGAAATAGCTCAAATGGCCGCAGAAGCCCCGTAGTATTTGATCATCGCTTGATGGTTGATAGTTATGATCAGCACTGGCGAGGATAGGGTGGAAAGACTGATGGGCTTGCAGAAGATGTGGAGGGGAAGCTCAACCAGTGATTGAACTGTGCTTTCGCAGATTTGACAACTTCAATGCGGCGGCAATGGAGGACGCTCAGAGCGGCCCAGTCCAGAAAATGCGGGAAATGTTTGATAAGAAATGAGCCTAGGTGGCCTGATTTGAGAGGAGAATGAGGATACCAGAATGACCGGGACGTAATTGATCATCGCTTCATACCCATGATCAATATTCTCGAGGTCAAATGTGTGCATGTGGTACAATTAGAAGAATTGGTCGAGCGCCGCGTGTAACTCGGGTCTTCAACAACCGCGTTCGCCAGGATGACGAGCTTCCCCATCCTTATTGCCCATGCTGGCGAATTGGATTCGCAGATGAGGGATATATGAGATCAGGCTGCCACACGCGACGAGTGGGAAGACTCTCCACTTTTCATTGCCCACGCAGGCAAGTTAGACCCTGTGATAAGGTGTGCATGAAAATTGACACAAGGAATGGGAGGAGTCTCCATTTGAATGGATGTCTGCACGGTATCAGAACCTCCGCGTCTTACTGAGTATCTATCACTGGGCGAGGTGGTCGCAGAAAGATGGTTTGCCTTGGCTGGAATCTCTTCGCTTTGTGGTGGACATTCGTCCGCAACATCACTGACACGGAAGGCTAGGTTGAAAGAAACCGATGCGTGTCGTCATCTTCCAGGATGACGGATTGGATTCGAAATTGAGGTACGTATCAAATAAGGCCCCTGCACACGATGAGAAATTGAATCCTGCTCATCGTCCCCGCACACGACGAGATATTTGAGGGTTGTCCACCTCAAAAAAGGCATCTGCGCACTCGCAGACCTTAATGCGGGTCTGGGCACCCGTCACTGGTTGGTAATTGACAGATCAGAAACAAGGCTGCAGGCAGTCACAGCCCTTGGGGACAAAGTGCGCGTTGTTGAGGCATGAACAGGACGAGTCGCTGGAAAAGTCTCCACCTGAATCATGCCTAGAAAAGCAGGACACGTTGGCCGTCGCCCAAATGTCTAGCAGATGGGGGCCCAGCTGCGATACGAAAGAGGAACTGGACTGGGAGGAGACAGGCCTGGAACTGAGGAAAGAATGGCCTGGGACTCGGGGAAGATGGGGCTGGGACAAGGGAGGATGACCCCGGGACGAAGAAGGATAGGCCTGTGACTAAGGGAAGGTAGGCCTGGGATGGGAGATAGGCTGGGACTGGGGGAAGATAGGCCTGGAACTGAGGGAAGAGACTGGGGAAAGATAGGCTGGAACTGGGGAAAGATAGGCTGGAACTGAGGAAAGATAGGCTGGAACTGGTGAAAGATAAACCTGGAAGATAGGCCAGAAACTGCGAGAAGATAGGCCTGGGACTGCGGTAAGATAGGCCTGAAACTGAGGGACAATAGGCCTGGACTGAGGGAGGATAGGCCTAAGACTGAGGGAAGATAGACAAAAAGACAGGGCCTGGGACTGAGGGAAGAGAGGCCCGGGACCTTCAAGTTTGGGGACAACAGGAGGATCGTGAGGTGGAGGAAGGTTTGCGTGTAATCCGAAGGTGCATCGTTGATACCAAGGTTCGGTTGAGAGGGAGTTGAAGATAAGGCTTTGTAAGGATAAACCAGAACCTTCAGGGATCTGAATGCCGTCAAGTCAGCTCTGCTTAGCAAATTTATAAGATGAATAGTCGAAGTTGATCTATGTAGATCGCCCACCTCTCGCGTTCTTCATCTCAGCGCGGAGTTCCCTCGAACTTCAAAGTCGTGGGCAGGAGAAACGTTCGTCTGCATGCGGTGCAAATGGAAGTTGCTGACATCAGAGGGGTCAGTCGAAAGAAAGATCATAGTCTGTTATGAAAAGGTCGAACGTAGAACCTGGATGCCGACACATAAAGCTCCAGCGGAGCAGTAAGACGGCTGAATAGCTCACCTTAATCGCCCTCACGTCGCCTATGTACATGGAGGATCTTTGAGTGTCTGCACCTAGACGTACAGAGTGGTGCAAAAGCAGTATTTCCTCTGACGCGATGAGAGCTTCGAAGCCTCTTTTGGAAAGAAGGAGGGGACATATAGATTGCGCCAACGTTGAAAGTGATCTGATCTCTTGAACGAACTCTGCGCTCAGATGTTCGCAGTGGAATATTTTTTGGTATTGTCAACTCACGACTGAACGCCTTCGCGTGTACTTGCTGCTTAAGACCAATTCACACTCGGGTTTCAGGTCTAATTGATAGTACACCGACGGATGATGGTACAACTCGGTGTTTAGCAAAAACTAGAATCTGGGAACGAACGGCTCAGCTAAAGTAGACCAGTAAGCTAGTAAGACAATTCACCTAGACCGCCCTTTTCTGCTTACGCTCCTCACGCAGAGCATCCTTCAATTTTTGCAGCTGCACCGTCACAGCAGTATTTGGGCCTCCAGACGATATACTGCGAGCTTCAAAGTCATCAAGAAAAGCCGTGATATTCTTTTGAGCATTTTTCGTAGAAATAGGGTTGGACGACGTAGCCTGTAGACGAACGGGGGGTGCCAAGGGAGCGTCCATTGTTGAAAGTCAAAGCCAAAAACGTTGTTTATGAGCACGTGGGAACACCCGATCGTGTCAAGTCGTACGAGTGAAAAAAAAAAAAGAGATGAGCCCACCCCTGGCCCAGCTCTTTGTCACGAACGCGACCGCTTATAACTTTATTTATCTCTCCCCTCTCCTCCACCAACTGAGATAACAATGGGCGCCGCAACATGGATCGCACTCCTCCTCACCCACCCCTTGGAGTTCAAGACCCTGCTCCAGTTCTGGATGTATCATGAGCAGAAACGCGATATTAAAGCACTGAAGGAGCATCCTACGTCCGGGTGGGACCGGCAGTCTATGAGGAGATGCTGGGATTTCTTGGACATGACCAGCAGGAGCTTTTCAGCGGTTATAAAAGAGCTGGACGGTGATTTGGCACGAACGGTGAGTTGTGCACGACATACACCCTTTGAGCAGTACCCTACGCGAACGAACGGAGAGGCAAAGAAAGACCCGACGCTCAAACCTGGGGCGCTCAGAGTCTTCTTCCGTCGCACGTGTGGATACTTGCTCTTCTTCCCTCATTTGAACATGGAACGGCTTCTCATTTGTTCAATCTAGATAGCCATATTCTACCTCGTCCTCCGTGGGCTGGACACTATCGAGGATGACATGACCATCCCAGACGCCATCAAACAGCCCATCCTCCGCTCGTTCCACATCCACACAGTCACGCCGGGGTGGAACTACGACGGCTGCGGTCCCAACGAAAAAGACCGCCAACTCCTAGTCGAATACGACGTCGTCGTCGCAGAAGTCAACCTCCTCTTACCCGAGTACGTTTTCCCCCTCACCACATTACTCCCAAACCCCTGACTTTTTTTTCAGATACAAATCCATCATAATCGACATCGCTCAAAAAATGGAAACCGGCATGGCAGACTACGCACACAAAGCCGCCACCACGGGTACCATCTACCTATCCACCATCTCAGAATACGACCTCTACTGCCACTACGTCGCCGGCCTCGTCGGCGAAGGGCTCTCCCGCATCTTCTCAGCCTCCAAAAAAGAAGTCCCCTGGCTCGGCTCCCAACTCCAACTCTCAAACTCCATGGGCCTCCTCCTCCAAAAAACAAACATCATCCGTGATTTCAGGGAAGACGTAGACCAACAACGTTTTTTCTGGCCTCGTGAGATTTGGGGTAAGGATGAGTATGGGTTTACGGAGATGAAGGAGTTGTATGACCCTGGAGCGTTGGAGAGGGCTACGTGGGCGCAGAGTGGTATGGTGCTTGATGCGCTGAGGCATGCGTGTGATTCGTTGGATTATTTGAGGATTTTGAAGAACCAGAGCGTTTTTAATTTTTGCGCGATTCCGGCGACGATGGCGATTGCGACGCTTGAGCTGTGTTTCATGAACCCGGCGATGTTTCAGAGGAATATTAAGATTCGAAAGGCGACTGCTGCTTCGGTGCGTCGTTTTTCTTCTTCGCCTTCCTTTACTTATTACCTTCCATTGCAGCTTATAATGCGTTCGGTGAACCCGAAAGAAGTCGGCTTGATCTTCCGCGATTATGCACGCAAGATTCACGCGAAAGCGGTCACTTCTGATCCTAACTTCCTTCGGATATCAATAGCCTGCGGAAAGGTACGTCTTTCCTCCTTCCCTCTTCCTCTTCCTTCCTCTTCTTCCCTTCCGCTTCCCCTCCCTCTTTTCCCTCATTCTCCCTCTTCTTCTTCTTCCATTGCCCGCCCTCTTCTTCCCCTCCCTCGTCCCCATCCTGCCTCTTCCTTCTCCCTCTCCTTCCCTTCTCCTTTTTCTTCCCCTCCCTCTTCGCCTTCTTTCTCTTCCTCTCTCTTTCCTCCTACTAACCTACCCCCCCTCACAGATCGAACAATGGCTAGAACACAACTACCCCTCCTTCATCCACATCACCTCCCTTCAAGGCGACACAAAAGTAACCCTCGACCCAAGCGACCCACGCACCCGCATCGTAACACTCGAAAAAGCCTTCGATGCACAGCTGGCGAAGAAGAAGCGCGTCGAGGATCTGCGGAATGGCTTACAATTGGCTCCTGCGCGGAGGGAGGAGGTAGAGATGACATCGACGATGGAAGTGATGGCGTACGTTATGGCTGCGTTTGCGGCTATTATCATGTTCAGCTTTACGGTGGTTTATTTTATTTTGAAGTTGAGTGGCGAGGGGAATGACGATGTTTTTAATTTGGGATGGGTGGTTGAGAAGTTGGCGTCTTGGAAGTAGGCCTGGGGGGGGATATAGTAGGATTAGTTACATATACCATTTATTTCGTTGGACGTTCAAGGTGTTGGTTCGGTTCATTCTTGTACATTTACATAGGCATTGGTGGTGGTGCTGGGAGGCGTAATGTTATTATGCGTGTTTATTGCTAGTCTCGATACCAGCTGTTATGGATATGTACACTATTGGGGTGTAATTATATACCATAACGTCTGGAGACTGGAAGGACTTTATCAGTACGTGGTAGTAATTACCCGCTCACACATTCCAAATACAGAACTTCCCCATTTTTTCGAATTCAACACTACGTTCTCTTACTCAAACCCAACATAGCGAATTACTACCATCGGAGACTGGGTTCAAGTCTACTCCTCCATGGCATGTTTCAAATGCGGAGACTGTAAGTACTTGAATTCAGCGTTCAGCAGTGGTATGACGACTGTAGATGATGCATGCCAACAAAAATTTCCGTACGATACGGCCATCATAATATGAGTCAACCCTGGGTCGAACAGAGGTCCTTCTGTGTGTTCGACAGATGCGATAACCAACTACGCCATTGACCCATATGTTGGCAAGGGGCAGTTTGCTTATTGGAACGAGAGCACCACGAAAAAGTTTTATAACGACTTTACCAAAACGTTACAGAGCTCACCGAGAGAACTGGGCCGATACGTGATTTGTCCCCCCGTCATATTTGATTTTCCACGAATTCCCTCTCCAGATTGACCCATGAGTACAAGCGAGGGAAGAGAAGGTCGGGGCACTAGAGGAAGCAATTGACGAGCGAGAACGGGCACTCGTTTAGAGAGGATTCGAGCTTGAAGAACGCTCTAAGCGGGTTGAGGAAGAAATGGAAACGCGTTCTGCTCAACTTGTGGTCTTAACACATCCACTTCGGCACTTGGTTCGAATTCAATCGATCACCAGTAACTCATGAAACGTAGGCTGACCGCTTTTTCAAAACTAATATATTTGTTGGTACATTCAACGTTCATTCGACTCGGAACTTTATGAAACACAATGTTGTCCATACAAACTTCTCGATTCACAATCCAAACAGTCGGCACACTCGAGTGGTGCTCGAGTAATTTGATTTCATTTAATTCAGACGACTTGGGTGAAAATGAATTGAGCTGCAGCAGCAGGTGCGCCGAGAACAGCCCTCTGAAAGTTCGGAAATTAGTATGAATAGTAATAAATAGTGGCACCGCCAATACATTGGCATTGCGCGCCCAGAACAATTGCGGATCATTGACCGTCCGAATGGTGCCTTGGTTACTGAACAGAGCGTTGGCAGTAAA